CTATGTAACTATCCAACTAATCTGTTAGTCTGTCCCTCAGTTGTACACCTAGTTTACCATTCATACAAACATATAACCACTCCTCTTTAATCTGTAAAGTTTGCACCTACAGTCCTACAATACCCTTCTATTAATTTATTTACCCACGAGTTATAATTCCAGTTAACCTATTTCATTTAATCAATCATCAGCTCAATTTTCCCTTGATTTTAACACTTCTTCACACATTCATGTATTCGTCAGTCACATACTTCCAGGTGATATCATATCAGGCTTCTACTTACCACATATCTATTCATTCATTAATAGTTATTCACATTTATACGATTTATTGTTTACTTATTCTCTTAAACATCAGTCTTTTTATCTTATCATTCACCTATCGTTTCGTTTAGTCATCAACCTAATTATTTATATTCTCAGTCAATGATCCATACTCTAACATATATGTCTCCTTTCCCTTCGTCTCTTACTCACTCAAATATTAATACTTTCACCCAAATATTAATACTTTCACCCAAATATTAATACTTTCACCCAAATATTAATACTTTCACCCAAATATTAATACTTTCACCCAAATATTAATACTTTCACTCAAATATTAATACTTTCTTTCAGTCATATAATTTGTCATTCGTAAAAATATCAATAAAGCTCTTATGTACTAAATTCTTCCTTAAAGTCCTCTCTGTCCCCCTGAGGGGCAGCGGTAAGTGTATGGAATAACAACTTTAAAATCCACGGTTCGAATTCATGACTTATCAGTGCGTAAATTTTATAAAATTATGGAGCTTCCAAAGCTAGCCAATTGGAGTGAAGATGTCAGAAGGACGGGAGCTAATGGATGTTGTAAGAGGAATGGTTATTGGATACAAAGTTGCTGGTATGAGTATTTAGAATCTGTTCCACTATTTATAAGTTTGAGGAGTTAAACAGATAAGGTAAACATTTTCTATGCTGTATAATATATGTAAGGTTAGATTATAACATTGACATTACACGTCGTGTCTCAACGGTAAGCTCGAGAGTTTATAACACTAAAATTCAGGATTCAATCCTTGAGGTGGTAAGGCACAGAGGGCCCAGTGGTTACTTTGAGCTTAACAACTAACAAGCAAGCATTAATGTTACTTATTTTTCTAAAGCCTATGTTAACATATGTTATATAAGGTAAGTTTAAGGGTCAAACTAAACACCGCATATCCATCTATATGTTTATTACTCAGCGTCCGGCATGGCCAGGTGGTTAGGGCGCTCGACTCGCAATCTGAGGGTCGCGGGTTCGAATCCCCATCCCACCAAACATGCTCGCCCTTTCAGCCGTGGAGGCGATATAACGTGACGGTCAATCCCACTATTCGTTGGTAAAAGAATAGCCCAAGAGTTGGCGGTGGGTGGTGATGACTAGCTGCCTTCCCTCTAGTCTTACACTGCTAAATTAGGGACGGCTAGCACAGATAGCCCTCGTGTAGCTTTGCGCGAAATTCAAAACAAACAAACAAACAAGTATTCACACGCACTTATCTTAGTTATCTGCTCAAATATCAGTCTAGACACGTTATTCTGATTGTTCATACATTTTCTTATATCTTATTTCAGCCAATCACCGACCATTTACCCGAACACTTTTCCATCACATTAACTTCTTTTGTTCATTCTTTCACTTACCCAACTATTATTTGTTAGTCTATCATGTAGTATTCCATCCTTTGTCAAATGTATTTCCCTACCTAGTTATGTCTTCCGTCACCAGATTTCCATTTGTTAAATTCTATATCTCCTAATTCTTTATTATTTTGAAGGTCTTTCCCTTATCACCACACTTTTGTCAAAGTTATTTACCCCTCCAGCTTTATTCTGTCTCTCCGCTAAGTATGAGACACCCATTTCGTTTTCACTTTGATTTGTACATCTTTTCACTACTATTCTTTTGTCCAGTTTAGCCTAGATAAATTTCAAATAATTACAAATACGCGATATATTCATAAATGTACAGGTGGATATTTTGTTTTGTTTGTTTGTTTTGAAGTTAAGCACAAAGCTACATACTGGGCTATCTGTGCTCTGCCAACTACAGGTATCGAAACCCGGTTTCTAGCGTTGTAAGTCCGCAGACATACCGCTGTGTCACTGGAGGCCAGGTGGATAGACGCGCGAAAAATATACTGATAACATAAGGCCTGCGAATTTAAACTTAATAAAAGTTGTTTTGGTTTTGATAACTGATTTCCTATAATTCAGCTACGCAGATTTCGAAAATAATATTCTTTTTTTTCTATCAAGTAAGGATTTTTTACAAATCTGGAAGAAAAAACTCTTACTTAAGATCAAATTATTATTTCGTTTACCACAATGAACATTTTTTATTATTATCTTTGTTATGTTTGGGTTCTAGAACGATCGCCAAGATTCTCACGTCGCGATTGGTCTAGAGAAATCTATAGCCAGTGGTTGTCAACATTTTAAACATGACAGAATGTTACCCGATTTCATTGAAAATGATTCACTTATGTAAAAGTATACATGACGTTTTGTGAAAAAGATGTATGTGATGAAGAAAAATGGATATCATTTTCGGATTCAGTGTACAGGAATTACTGTAGGACATGTACAAATTTCAAGACAATAAAACCCTCGCAGCCGTGTGTTGTTTCTAATATTCACGCAAAGCTATACAAGGACTACCTACGACAGTCGTCCCTTATTGCCAAGTCTTGGGCTCTTCTAGTCGATTAATGGGATTTGATCCACACTCTTATAACGCACCGATAAGTCAGAAACTGCGGAGCGCTACTTTTATTTTTTCCTAAAGCAACAGGAACCTCAGATTTACAATCCGACATGTTAACCCCATAACCACACTAGGCCTAACTAAAATGGTTGAAAAGAGAAATTCCATTTTTGTGACAACAATGTCGATTTTGGTAAACGTAAAAATCTTATCTACAAACTAGTTCATTCTTATTTTTTAGTTTCAAACTGCCAGATAAGATTGTAAAAGAAAAATGTAAAAACTTAAACTACTTTCGTATTTAACGTGATAAATTTCTATCGACTTGAAGTAAAACTTAGGACTAATGATGACAGTACTTTCATTTAATACTCATATCCTGAGATTTTAAAACACGTTATCTATATTTTGGTTCTGTCAAGTCGGAAATGACTGAGACTGCTTCTAATACTTTAAGGTGGCACATGCATGTTACCATGAAATACTCGCAACGTAAGCTGGAACATACGTCTGTTCGGGGTGGGGTGGGGTGGGGGTGTACTCGTAACGTAAGATAGTACATACATCTCTCCGGAGGTTAATAGTAACGTAAGATAGTACATACATCTCTCCGGAGGTTAATAGTAACGTAAAATAGTACACACATCTCTCCGGAGGTTAATCGTAATTTAAGATAGTACATACATTTCTCCGGAGGTTAATCGTAACGTAAGATAGTACATACATCTCTCCGGAGGTTAATGGTAATGTAAGATAGTACATACATCTCTCCGGAGG